ACATAAATTCGTAATCGAATATTATTCCTCTTTCCGTCCTTATTGCGTTAAATTAAAGAATTAAATTAAACAATGTTTCTTGCAAGATAAAACATGCCATTGAATCGACGTAATATAATGTATGTATATATTTATATAAATATACACATTCGTATCTATTTATACATATACTTTTAACAATATACTTTGTTGCAGTGATGCACAATATATTATAACGATAGAGTAAATAACATGTTGTTTTTATTATTCGTTACACTGGTTAATGTTTCTTTTTTTTTTTCAGCCGTTATACGTCAAATGTCGCAAATATATAAATATTTCATATTTTTAATACCACATTCCGTGAACGGTAAAAAAATTCCTCTCACGAAATGTACTCTTAACTCCCGTTTTGCTTTCACACGAACAATTCAATGCTTGAAAAATTAATGCGGCAACTTGATTGCCCCCTGTTTGACTAGCTTAAACTTGGAAGCATGTTATACGTATTTTTTTGTTTTTTTTTTTGTTTTGTTCTTCGTATAATAATTTTACGTACAACAATCACTTTTATAATCTTTGTTTTTAATAAAATAGTTTATATATGAAAGTACAATTTTTCTTGTTAGTAACATTCAATGAAACATACTGAAAATAATCGATCTCTTATTAATATTCTTTTTAAACATCCAGTAACAGATTATTTTTAAGGAAAGACATAAGTACACGTTGGAAAAAATGTTTAAGTAAAATTGCAGTTGTTACAGTTACATTTTTTTTCCTTTTTTTTGTTTTTTCTTTTTTTACATCCTCACTATGAAATCTGTCGATTAAATATTTCCAAAAAGCTGTAAAGAACATTCTAAAAATTGATTGAATTTTTAATTGTAGTATTAATTGCAATATGTAAATACAGTAACATTGCACTTCAGAAAAACGTTGTTAGTATTAGTTATACGTTCAAGCCTGAAATACTTATCACCTAGAATGCGATTGGTAATTCCAAAAACTTCTCTAATCCTTTTCCCTGACGTGGATTACGATCACAGCTGGGACGTTTCGTTACAACAATGCAGAAGTTATTATGCATCGTTTTAATTAGCATGGCAGACTTTTGATTTCTCAACTTGTTATCTATATTGGACGTTATAAGGCAAAAGTTTAGAAGTATACCAACTTCTGGCTGCATTCGCTAGATTTCTGCTAAATTAACACTTTCAGGAGTACACGTATTTAATTACTTGTAACACCCTTTTTTGTTCCAAAACAGTCAAATGTAATTATGTACCTACTTACTGGTATATACGTATATATTTTAATAATGAGTACAAAGTAAATAATTTTCTACAATGTTTCGATAAATACATGTGTATATAGGAAATTTTGTATATAATTATCAAATAAAATAT